TTATAAAAAAAAAAAAAAAAAAAATGTTTTAAACTAATTAAAATTTTTTAAAAATTAGAAATTAAAACATATAACCAAGCCACTAACACATATTCTACTATAAAAAAATACAACCAAGACCATAAACAAGTATATTTCCGGACAAGGAAAATATTTTTCCAGTCAATAATTTGAATTAAAAAAATCCTAATAATTAATAAAAATAGTTTTCATAAATATAAGATAATTCTAAAAAAATAAAAACCTAACCAAATATAAATATCTAAAAAAAATTACATTTTTCTCGAAAATAATAGTTTCAAATAAAAACTCTTCCAATATTTTAATAAGGTGAAAAAACTTCATAAATATAATCAAAAAAATGTATATTTTAAAATGAGTTTAATAAATCAAATTATACTTATTAAGAACTAAGATAATACTATGAATAAAAATATGAAAATAAATCTAATTTAGATTAATAAAAAAGCTAAATTAAAACAATTAAAACCTCATTTACAATTAGAAGATAAAAAGTAAATCAATAAAGTTAAGAAGAGAATATTATTGCTTGGGGTTACGATAAAGATGAATAAGGAAATTTTCTTAATACATCATTTGAAGAATTAATAAAATAAATATAATGAAATAAATAATTAAAATAAAATATATATATATATATATATATATATATAATAATATATTTATTCTTTTTTTTTTAATTAAAAATAAAAAAAAATTCAAAATAATTTTTTAAAATAAGAATAAACACTAAAAAGATATTTTATTATTAATATATTTTACATCGAATAAAAATAAAAAATAAATATTAAAAAAATAAAAAAAACATATATTATATATATATAAAAAAAAATGGGGTGATTGGTGTACAATAGAAAGTGATCCTGGAGTATTTACAGAATTAATAAGAAATATAGGAGTAAAAAACGTATAGGTTGATGAGTTATATACTTTAGATGATGAATTATTACTAGAAAATATAAAACCTATATATGGTTTGATATTTTTATTTAAATGGACAAATAAAATGGAGAAAAGAGAAGTTTTAACAAATTATGATTCCGATTTATTTTTTGCTAATTAAGTAATATAAAATGCATGCGCAACCTAAGCTTTGCTTGCAGTTTTACTTAATAGACAAGATGTAATTGAAATTGGTGAAGAATTAAATAATTTTAAATAATTTACTTAAAGCTTAGATCCTTAAATGAAAGGATTAGCTATTTCTAATTAATAAACATTACAAAGAGTATTTTTTTATTGTTTTTTTTTCTTAAAAAATAAATAAATATGTTATTAGGTGCATAATTCTTTTTCTAGGCCAGAGCCTTTTGTATTTACAGAATAGAAAAAAAGAATTGCAACTGAAAAAGATGATGTTTTTCATTTCATTGCTTTCGTTCCTTTTAAAAATAAAGTCTATGAAATTGATGGATGTTAATAAGGACCTATTTTAGTAGGATCTTTTGAAAATGAAGACGAATGGATTAATATTGCAAGAAATGAAATAAATTAAAGAATTTAAAAGTATTTTATTTTATTTTTTACAAATAATAATAAAAAAATATTAATATAAAAAAAGATATAGTTAAGATGAAGTTAGATTTAATCTTTTAGCAATTACAAAAGATAAAAAATATATGGTTTTTTTTATTTTTTAATATATTATATCTTTTATTAAATATTTAGAGTGAATAATTAATAAATGAATATGAAAGATAAAAAAGTTATTTATATAATTACTTGAAGAGTAATTAATATTAATTAAATGAAATGTAAGAAGCAGATTATTAAAATTTAGTAAATAATATATTAAAAAGATAATATATATATATATTTTAAATTTTAATGATTTTTATATAATTTTTTAAAAAATAAATAAATCAATTAACAAAATAATATAAAGAAAAAATTATTTATAGTTTTTAGTTTTTTCTATAATAAAATAATAAAATTGTTTATAAAAAATAGTAAAAAAATAATAAAAAAATTATAAAAAGAAATAATTATATAATTAGATATATATATAAATATATATATATATATATATATATATATATTTTTATATATATTTATATATATTTATTTATATTTTCTTATATTTTAATTAGAAATTAAAAATGATGGAAGATGAAGGATAATAAAATATTTGTTTAAGTTTAGATCTTAATATAGCTTTGTAATAAATAAACTCATTAAATAGTTAAATAACTACATAAAAATTAATTATAGAAGAAGAAATATAAAAAAATAAAAATTATTAAGTAAATTATATATTTATTTTTATATTTTTTAAAAATTAATTTTTTATTTTTATATATTAAATAAGATTGAAAATGAAAGAAGAAAACATAATTATATCCCTTTTATTTTTGAATTATTAAAAATTACAGCTGAAAAAGGAAAACTAAATGAATTAGTTGAAAAAGCTAAATAAAAAATATAAGAAAAATGATAGATTAAATATATATATTTTATCAATATTTTTTAATAAAAACATATATAAATACTTTATGTATTTAAAAATTTAAATAGAATTTTTTTAAAATTTTACTAAAATATTAATTATAATTAAAAAAAATATATTTAGCAAAAACAATAAATATTAGAATTTATTTAATATAAACTTTTTATAAACAAATAAAATAAAAAAAATAAAGAAAAATATATATAAAAAATGGAATAATAATAAAATACAATTAATCTCAATGAAAATTACATTTATAATGAATAAGACCTTTTATTTTCCTCAAAAAATTCTAAAGTTTATAAAGGTCAATAAATATCAACATAGTTTAAAGTAGCAATAAAAAAGCTTCACAAAAGATTTGAAAAAAACGCTTTCACAGAGTATTATTTCTAAACTTATTTAGAAAATAAATACCCGAATAGATTTTTAAAAATATACGATTTAATACATAAACCTGAAACAGAAAAATATTATATAATAACTGAATATTGCGAAAAAAAAACATTAGTAGATAACCTAAAAAATGTAAATAATATGTTAATAATGACTTGGTTTTAATATATAACCGAAAGTGTTTAAATATTAGAAAAAGAGCATATAGTTCATAGAGATTTGAAAATGGAAAATATATTTATATCAGAAAAAAACATAGCAAAAATAGGTGATTTTGGATCAGCGGTTTATTTTTCGAAATCAGAGAGAAAAATTGAAGGCACTTTATTATATTAGCCTTTAGAAATAATAAAAAGAGTTAATTTTTTAGAAAATAAATAATAAGAATGGTAAAACAATTAAGTTTTTTAAGATTTTTTTTGTTAATAAATAATCAAAAATATTTTTTTTTTGGAAAAAAAAATGAAATTACTACAAGAACAAAAGGATGATTTAAAAAAAGAAGAAGATTTTTACTTTTAGGAAGAATAAAATTTACTTAATTAAAATTTAATTGAAAAATAATCTTTTTTATTGAAAAAAAAAGAGTCTTTTTAGGATTTTCTAGAATAAAATTAAAGTTTTTTTTTTTTTCAGAATTAGAAAATAATTAAAGAAATTATTAAATTTTATAAAAAAAAATTTAAGAGATAAATGAATAGATTAATTATCTTTCATTTTTTGGTGAAAAATCATTATTTATAAATTAAAATTACAATGAATCATTTTACAAAAAAAAGAAAATTTCTTAAATGCATTTGAATAAAATTAATACTTATTGTTAAATTATAAACAAAACATACAAAAAGAAGCTACTTATATATACTAAAGTAGCTATGTTGATAAAATTTCATTAGGATATCTACTTTTCTATATTTATTTTAGAGATTTACCTTTATTTATTTGGAAAGAATTACCTAAAAATGCTTAATTTTATAAAGAAAAAGTACTAGGAAATAAAATTTGGGGAATAAATAATTAATATTTCAATGAAATAACATATAAATGTGTTGATTTATTCTTTAAAGATTAAATTTTTGAAGTAATTTTTTAAAGTAAATATTTTTAAGAATGGCCTATTTTAACTTTTATGTAATTAAATGAAGAAGAAAATATTTAAAGAATGTCATTTTCGAATATTGAAAGTGATTTTTTTTATTTAAAAGAACAAAAAAAAATAATAAAAAAGTCCAACAATTTAAAAAAAATCAATAAAGATAAAAAATATGTTTATTTATTAAAAAAAAAGCCTGCTACTTCTTATTATTCTAAATTTAAAAATTTCTTAAAAAAAGTTTTTGTAAATTCTTATCGAAAAGTTATAAATATAAAGAAAAAAATAGCTTGAATTTTTTATTTTATTAAAGATAATGAATGTATATAAGATATTCTTAAAATAAAAAAAAAATTTCTAAATTAAATTTTTTTATTAAAAAAAAAATAAAAAAATTCTTAAAAAAATAAAAAAATTCATAAAAAAATAAAAAAATTCTTAAAATAATTTTTTTGTTTCAAACAAAAAAAATAAACAAAAAATTACTAAAATAAAATTTTAATTAATATATTTTTTAAAATATAAAAAAAAAAAAAAAAATGACAACAAAATAATCTCAAACATAAAAAAATTAAATAATAACTTCTTCTTAATCAATTTAAAACTTTTATTAAGATCCAATAGCATTTTTATAATTTAAATTTTCTTATTTTTATTCATCTACCAAAATAACATTACAATTAATGTTTTTTTATACAATTTAAATATTTTTCATAATTTCATTTTTTACATTTTAATTTTTACCAAAATCCACACTAACCAAAATCTCCATATTAGACTAAATTTTACTTTATTTTTTTACTTTCTGTATTTTGCTACAGAATTCTCTTATAATTCCTTTACTTTTCATCTCTTAATTTTGACTAAAATCAATCACAATTACAAAATCATCATCAACTTCAATATTTCTTTCCTTTAAAAATTCCTTCTTTATTTCTTTTTATACATTAAAATCTTCAAATAATAACTCATTTTATAATATATTAATTTTCCCTTTTTCTTATAATTCTTTTATTTGTTTATTTGAGAGATTTTAAAGAGCTTCTTTTAACTCTTTGGTGTATTTTTATTACAATTTTTGTCCCAAATTTCGATGTTTTGGTACAACTTTTGTATCTATGTATGCACTTTCGTCATTTTATATTATTATTTCTTCTACATTTACTTCTTCTTTTATATATTGTAAATAGTTATTAATAGAAGAGTTGAATTAAGGATTTTTCGACACTATTTTTAATTAAGAAACAGTTTATTTTAAAGAAATCTTCTTGCTTTCTCTCAAAAACCTTCCCAAATTTATAATTTTTTGCATTCTAAGAAAACTCTCTTCAATTTAAAGATCCAAAACATTATTTTTAGGTTAGGGCATTTGTAAAAAATGTAGAGAATTTTAATTATAAACTGAAATAGGAGATAAAAAAACCTTTAAATTCTAATAAAAGCTTTCAGTAATTAAGGGAACAAATGGAGCCATTAAAATAATAGAATTCAAAATAACAGAAAAAAGAACATTTAAGGCCATTTTTTATTCTAAAGTTTCATTTTTTAGTCTATTTCGATTCAAACGAATATACCAATTAGTTAAATTTTCCAAAAAAAGTACTAATTTAGGAACTACAGTGTATAAATGATATTTTTACATTTCTTATTATACGAAAATTATTAAATTTTAACATGATATCTATATATTTAGTAAATAAATAGATATATATGCAAAAATATAAATATAAAAATAATTATAATATATATATATATATATATATATATATATATATATATATATATATTTGATTTTTACTATTATCCATTTATCCATCGGATTTGTTATATTTTTTTCTTCTATTATTATTTCATCGAAAATGAAGTTTTCATTATTTAAATTTTCATATCTTTATATATTCTATATTAAAAATTTTAAAGCATTATACCAAGGTAAAAAAACATCTTTTCTAACACCAAAAACACCTTCTTCTTTAAAACAGAGTTCTTCAGCTCTTACTAAAGGTGAATTTATCTAAATATATATTTACATTTATATAATATAAATTTATAAATTACCATATATAATCTAATAGCATCTGCTGAATGTCTATTTGCAACTTCTAAAGGATCTGGGTAATTTTTTTTAGATTTTGACATTTTTTTGCCATCAGCAGCCAAAACAATTCCATTAACTATTAAATTTTTATAAGGATGTGAATTTTTAAATGCTGTAGATATTACATTTAAAGTATAAAACCATCCCCTCGTCTAGTCAATCCCCTCTGCAATAAAATCAGCTGGAAAAACTTCCTAAAATTTATTTTCATTAACCGAAAACGGATAATGAATCTAGGCAAAAGGCATACATCCAGATTCAAACCAACAATCAAAAACTTCATCAATTCTCCTCAAAGTCCCTTTCCCTAATTTACTTTAAATAACTAATTTGTCTACAAAATCTCTATGTAGATCTTATATATTATCTTTACCAGTTAATTCTTTTAATTCCTATATACTTCCTACACACACGATTTCCTCTCCATCTTCCGAAACCCATAATGGAATCGGATTACCCCAAAATCTACTTCTCGAAAAGCACCAATCTTAGGCATTTTCTAGCCATGAATTAAATCTTCCTTCTTATGCAAATTTAGGTACCCAATAGGCTTTTTTATTATTCTATATTAGTTATTATTTTATTTCTGTAACTTTAATAAACCAGCATTAAACAGCTTTGTAAATTAAAGGAGTGTCACTTCTCCAACAGAAAGGATAGCTATGTTTTATTTACTCATCCTTTATTAAAACTCCCTTTTCTTTTAAATATCTTCTTATGTTTTTTTCACTCTCTTTTACACTTTATCCTTAGAAATCTCTAATTTCTTTTGTAAAAAAACCATTCTCATCAACTGGAACAGGTGGATTGTCTGACTTTATAACTCCTTTTTATAAACAAGCCTTGTAGTCATCCTCTCCGAAACCTGGTGCTAAATGTACGATTCCAGTTCCTGTATTTTCCTAAACAAAATCAGCCAAAAGTACTTTAAAACATCCATTTATTTTTCTGTCAATAAAATAATCAAACAAAGGTTCATATTCTAAATTTTCCAATTATTTTCCTTCCAAAACTTCCAAAACTACAAACTCATCACTTTTCTTATAAATACTCTCCAAAAGCCTCGACTAAGCCAAAATATATTTCTTCCCACTTTTTAAATCTTCAACTTTGGCATATTTAATCTTTGAATTTACACCCAGCATTAAATTACTAGTCAAAGTCCAAGGAGTAGTAGTCCAAGCAACTAATTTAGTATCCGGCTCGTTTTTTAAACTAAAGCAAATATACAAAGAAGGATCTAAAACCTCTTTATAATTTTACTGAGTTTCGAAATTGGACAAAACAGTAGCACATCCATTTGAATATGGCATTATTCTACAACCGCGATATACTAAACCTTTCTAAAATAATTATTTAAATACATACCAACATGATTCCATATATTTTATATCTAATGTTTTGTAATCATTATCGAAATCTACCCATCTAATTAATAAAAATAATATTAATGATATATATGTGTATATATATGTTACCTACCAAACCTATTTACTATATGCCTCCATTCTTTACTATATCTCATTACTATATTTCGACATTCTTAATTATATTTTTCTATACCCATCTTTATAATAAGTAAATAATATAAATAAATATATATATATTTTATATATATTATATATTTATATATATACATATATTTATTAGTATATATGCTTATTTTATTTTATACATCTAAAACTTCTTTTCGCGTTTTTATATTTAATTTTTTGTCTATTTCATATTCAATCGGTAAACCATGACAATCCCATCCAAATCTTCTTTCTACATATCTTCCATTTTATGATGCATATCTACATATTGTATCCTTTTTTTTTTTTTTACAAAATATTTTTTTAATATAACTTTTATTGTTCCTGCTAATAAATTCCCGTAATGAGGTAGACCGGTTGCAAAAGGAGGACCATCATAAAATGTAAAAGGCGGATAATGCTTTGTTTTTTTTAGTTATTGTCCAAAAGCATCTATTTATTGCCAATATTCTAGAATTTCTTCTTCTTTTTTAACAAAATTAGGAATTTCTTCAACTTTAATTTAAAACAAAAAAATATTTCTTTTTTTGTTTGTGAATTTTTTTATTTACGAGGCTTGATATTTGTTTTATAATATTAAATATGCAAATGAATATATTGCTTTTTTCTTAAATTTTTAAAAGCTAACATTTTAAGTTTGGTATGTATTTTAATTTAATTTTAAAAATAAATCTTTTTTATATTTTAATAAAATTTATATATGTTTTATGTTTTTATTTTAAGCTAAATAATTTTTTTTTTTAATTGTTCTTAATTTTTGAAAAAATAAATTATTGAATATTTGTAAATATTAACTTAAATATAATATATATTAAGATTATAAAAATAATTATTTAATAAAAAAAAAAATAGTTTTAAAATAAAAAAATAATTATTAATATAAATGAAAATAAAAAATATAATAATAAATGATTGATAACTAAAAAAAAAATATAGTTATTTATAAAAAATAGAATTAAATTAATAAACATTGAATTTCATAAATAAAGTTATTTAAAGTGTTTAAATAAGAAATTGATTAAAACAAATATTTAAAAAAAAAATTGAAAAAGATATTTAAAATGTTTAAAAATAAATGAAAATATAATAAATATAAAAAATATAAAAAAAAAAAATTAAAAGAATAGATATTTATAATATAAATAAAAATATATGTACATAAATATATATAAAAATATATTTTTTTTTTAAATATAAATATATAATTAAATTTAAATAATATATATATTTATTTATATATAATAAAAAATATTTAATATTTTCATTTATCTGAATTTTTTTTTGAATTTTATATTTATATTAAATATAAATACTAATACATATTCATATATAATATTTTTTTAATAGTAATTTTAGTATTTTATTTTATATTTTAATTATAAAATTATTGGTCATTAATATTTTAGTGAATCTTAATATTTCATTCTCTATATATAAAATTTACATTTATAGATTTGCATAGTTAAGAATATTCCCCTAATTAACTAGCTAAAAGTTAATGTTATAGTTTCTATTTCATGAAAAACATAATATAAAGATTATTTACAATAATTAATTTTTTTTTAATTTACGTTTTTTCCTTGAATAAAATTATTTTTTCTGCTTTATCTTGTCATTTTAATTTAGTTTTTTCTTTTATTTAAGATTTCGTTTTTTCTCATTTTTTTTTAAATTACAAAATAATTTATTATAATTAGTAAATAAAAAAAATCAATTATATTCAAACAATTTAAATTAATTTATATTCAATTATTTATTATTATAATTTAATAAGAATTTTTTTTAAAACTAATTTTGCAAAAAATAATATTAAAAATAAAAATTATTTAATAATTTAATCAATATAAAATTATAAAATTATTATTATATTTATTCAAAAAATGTATATATATTTTCTACAATATTATTATACTTAAATTAGATATTGCCAATTATTAAATATTATTTCTATTATTAATTATATAATAAATTATTTTAATTATATTAATTCTTTTTAATATATAATTATACTTTCAAAATTAGATAATTCTTTTATAAATATAAAAAAGAATATTCTATATATAATATATTATTTTATAGATTATAAAAAGAATATTTTTTTTTTAATTATATTATATACTTTTACAAATAAAAAAAATATATTTTTATATACATATAAATATATTTTTTTTAATATAATATATAAATATTTTTAGTAATAAAAAATTATAATTATTATTTATTTTATAAAAGTATGAAAAAAAAAAATTCTATTATATAAAAATATTATTATTAAAAAAAGATAAAATAGAAAAAAATATGATAAACTAAATTAATTATTATAAAGAATTAATAATTTTTATAAAAAAAATATTAAATTTTTAAATATCCATATTATATATATATAATATTAAGGATAAAGATATATATTATTAATAAATAAAAGATTATGATATGAACTTTAAATACTATAATAGTTAACTATTCTATAATCCTTATAATATATATTTTAAACATAAATATATCTATTAAATTTTCACATGATTTTTAGTTATTATTTTATTTTTTAAAAGATCTTAATCAATAAACAATTAATTAGTATTTTCGATATTTATAATTAATTAAAAAAAATAATATATAAAAATAAAATAAATATATAATGAAAATTAAATTAAAAATAAAAAAATATAAATAATATTAATAAAAATCTTTATATAAATATAAATAATATATTCATATATATATAAATTTATATATTTATATATAATAATTTTTAAATATCTTACATATTATTAATATATATTATATTTTTCTTGTATTTCTATATTATTTTTAAAAGTCACTTTTTATTTTTTTTGCTTCTCATCTATTTGAAAATATTCTTCATAAACAAAGTTCTTTATTATTTTTCATAATAATATTTATTTCTTACAAATAATAATATAATAATTAATATTTTTCATTTATATATTTATTTTTGGTATTAGAATAATAATAATAATTATAGTATGAAAATTTTAATTTTTTTCTTTACAGTAATAATCGCAACAATCCTTTTCAGTTAATTTATTTAATTTTCCTTCCTCTTTTTTATTTTTTTTAATCTACATATTTAATAAAATTTGCGTATTCATAAAATTTACAAAAAATAATATTATCATTTATAATATCTTATAAGTTAACATTAATGAATTTACTTTGGCTCATTCAACTTTAAATTCGACAAAGATTCTATTACTTTCATCTAATAATATACTTTTTCCATTAGTTAAATTTTTTAATTTTCATAGACATAAACTATAATTACTTATTAGTTTTTTTCGAATTCTAATTAAATTTAAACTGATAAATCTTATGTTTATATATCATAAATTTAGCTTCTTACACATCATCTTGATTATCTAATAACTTTCCTTTATATGAAATGTCTAGAAAAAGTTAAACATAATACTAGAACTATATTTAAAACTTAATTTAGTTATCTAATTTAATTACAAATCTAAATATCTATAATATATCTTCTTTTTTTGTATATCTTAATCATCTAGATTCTATAATCTTGTGTGTAAATTTATTATACTTTCCCTCTCCCCCCACCTTACCTCTAAATTTTATAGTTGATAAAATTAAAGTATTACAAATATATTTGAACAGACTTAAAATTATTTGGAAACATTTAAATAAATGTCTTTAATAATAAATTCTTAACATATTCTATTTTAATCACATTTATTAACAATTATACTTTTTTTAGTATATAAATTTCTCATTTGTTAAATAAAAATAATAACTAGCTTAAAATAAAGAGCAGAATCCTTCATTTGTAGAAGTTACACATTTAGCATATAAAGTAGAACATAATATAGACTATTATAAAAATAATAATATCGACTTTTACACTCTCCGCGCAGTTTTGCTTTTGGAAGTATTTTCCTTACAACTTTATTAATTATTTGAAATTAAAAAGGTAGGCCTAAAGAATTAACAATAAAATTTATTTTTTTGATTCAAGTAATTTTAAACTGACCATATTTTATCTTTTATATTATTATTCAGGCATTAATTTGAGTAATTTCCATAAATTCACTAATTTGAAAATCTGAAAACTATAATATTAATTTTACATAAATTATATTATTCCAATAAATTGTGTATTTAATCTGGGAAGATAAAATTTTATTATATTTGACTTCGAAATTCTTTAATTTGTAAATATTCATAATTATCAATAATTGAAAAAAATAACATCAATATACTATTTATTGTTTTTATTTGGTGTTACTTGCTTGTTTACCATATTTATTTTTATCATTCTTTAAATAATAGTTCTAAGAATAATTATATTTAAGCTTTCGGTTATATATTTATAATTTAAACTATATCTGAGTATAAATTATATTTAGCTTCTTCACTTCATCATTATAACTATCATCTAAATCACGTTTAATAATTAGATTGTTGGCCTTTTTATTTTTTAATATTCACTTTATCAATTAATTGCTCATATTTCAAGCATACACTATTATAACTATCATAATAAGATTATTCTTTTGAATCACATTAGTACATTATTCTATAAATTAAAATTAGATCTTTTTATTTATTTCCTCCTTGAACAATATAAGAGATTTCTTTAAAATTCTTAATATTAAATTAAAGAGCTTTATCTTTATTAATATCTCACAATATCCTTAATTTTTAAGTAATAATAATATTATATATATGTAATTTTTATAATAATTACTAATTTTGTATTTTTAATTGTTATTTTTTTATATTTTGATTTTGCAATGTTTTATTTTTAATAATTAAAAACGTCAATTTTTCAAAATTAATTATAAATATATTACTATTTATCGTTATTATTTCTATATTTTCTTTTTTCAAATACACAATTGAAAAAAAATAAAAGGCGAATAAAAATGGATTATGTCCTTATAATTTTTGATAGCAATTTTTAAAAAAATAATACTAAAAAGTAATAATTATAATCATGTTCATGATTATATAAAATGAATATATTATAAAAAATAATTTTAGCTAGAATAATAATTAATTTTTAATAAATTAATTGAAAATATCATTATTTAAAATATAAAAAATTATATGATTATCTTATTTTATAAATATAATAAAAATTATATCATTATTCTTATAATGAAATTTTTTAAAAATTAAATATTATATATTAATATTCTTTTTTAATAAAAAAGAATATTATAAAAATTAATTTATTTAATATATATAAAATTTCTAGATATTTTATTTTTTATAAATCAATTTATATAATTATATAATTTTCTTTTTTTAATAAATAGCATGAATAAATTTAATTTTAGAATATAATAATTATAATCATTAATTCAATAAATTTAATAAAAATACTATTTGAGCATAGTTATTAATATTAAATTATTATTATTTAATTTTATTTTCTAAAAATTAAAATATATTTAGTTTTATTTAATAAATCATATTATAATAAGTTTAATATGCAAATTATTTTATATATATAATGTTCATTACTATAATAAATATATTTTTAAATAATATATATACTTTTATATTTTTATTTTTATTTATTAATAGTTTTTTTTATTTTTAATTATTTTTTATTAATAATATTTATATCTTAATTTTAATTGAACTCTTAAAATTGAAATTTTTTGGAATTTTTCAGAAATTTGATGAAAAAAAATAATATATAATATATAAATAAATAAATACAGAAGTTAATTTACAAATACAAATAGAAATAAATATAAATAATTAAGACCATTATTTATTATATTAATTTTTTAATAATAATAAACTATGTATTATTTTGAAACGTGGATAATTTAAATTAACATATTCATTAATTTATCTTTAATTTATTATAGAAATTAAAAAACTCATTTCCAATCAATTTTCTTTGAGAATATTAGTCATTTTAAAATAAGTTTTAAGAACAAAGAAAATCAATATCTGTTTATAATTTCATGCTATCTTTGGCATAAATTTATAGATTATTTTATTCAGGACTCATTTTTAGAATAACTTTCTATTTAAAAAAGAATTAAAATTAATTATTTTATTAAAATATATATTTACCTAAGTCTCAGATTCTTTTGTATTTAATATTAATAATGGAAAGTTAAACTTTTAATCATTAGTAATTTAGTTATTTTATTTAATGTTTCTTTATATTAATTATTTTAAGCATATTAGTTATTTAGTTTATTCTTAAATTATTTAGGTCTTATTTTATATTTTCTCAATACTTTTTTCAATTAAGTTTTAATATTTTTTAGATTTATTCCAATTATCACTTTTAAGACATTTTCCTATATTTATAAAATTATTAATAACAATTTTTATTTTAATTTATTATACCAATTAAATTAGTTTTATTAATACAAAAAACTTTTTTTCCGTTTCTTTAAATAACATCGGAAGCAATTAAAACATTAAGAGAATCATAAACTCTTCTTTTAATATTTTATTCATATTTTTACTAAACAAAATAAATTAATAAATAAAATATATATTTTAATTTTTATATGTTTTTACAAATTCCTATTCAGTAATTTATTCTTATTAATTCTTTAAATTTTAGATTAAAGCATTTGCAACATCCTTATAAGTAGTAACTTTTTATTACTAAACTATTTATTTAACTTTTAAAGATAAAGATCTTAATCCCATATTAGCAGTATTTTCACAAGATTTGATATTGAATTAGGATACTAAAAAATATTGTTAATAAATAATTTTTTTTATAAAAAATATATACCTTCTTTATATTTAATATTGTTATTATTATAATTTATTTATTTAGTAGATTCATTTTAATTAGAAAGCAAATATTAATCAAAAGGGAAATTCTTTTATTAAGTATCTGATGAATATTTATCTATTAATTAATTTATATTTTTTTCTGTAGATTATTAATTATAAGTCCACATATCTATATTTTATTCATTTTAAAAAAGTTAAGTATTAAACTATTTAAAATTTTATTATTTTTTTAAGTCTTAATGATGAGAATTATTTAGAATAGTTTATGAATTATAAAATTAAGAATTAACTTTACTACTTTAATATAAATTTTCATTTGTTGTTGTTTATGAAAAATTATTAAATTATTATTTTAATTCATATTAATTATTTTATTATTAAGAATATAACTATTATTATAAGATTTATTCAGATTTTATATTTCCAATTTCGTTTTCTTTACAGATTTACTATTTTTTTTTATTTTCTTAAAATACAAAATCAAAACCCCTAGCATTTTAATCATTCATATCTACATCTATATTATTTTATAATTCATTCATATTATCAAGAATATATACTTTAGTTCTAATGCTCATATTTTATATTTATATAATATAGATTAATTAATTTTTTTTTTTTTTTAAGATATTTTTAATTAAGTTTAATTTGTAATATTAATTTTATTCAAATATTTGTATATAAATAATTAAATAATTCTAAACCGCGAAAAAAAAAACATTTATAAAAAAAAGGCGCTTTTGTATGAATATAATTTTAAAAAAATAATTAAAATACACAAAATATTACTAATTATATACTCATATATATTTATATTTTTTTATATAATTCTTCAATATAATTAAACAATTTTTTAAATGATTCAATATTTATTTAAAGCCAATTTTATCTTTTTTTATATTTCAGATATCATTGGTTATATAGTAGTATATATTCAAACAAAAACATTATGGAATATAATTTTTAATTTTTTTGTTATAAAATTTTTTATTGAAAAGAAATCAAGTTTAAAATACATAAATAAATTAGTATTTATATAAATAAAATATAATATATCTAAAATATAGATATTTTTTTATAATAATAAATACAATGAATATACGTAATATAAAAATATGGAAATATATATCTATAAATTTATTAAATATATAATTAAAAAAAAATATTATTTTTTTTATCTTAAGTTAACACAAAAATATTTTGAAAAATTATCTTTAAAATTTTAATAATAAAAAATAATATCCGTTAAATTTAATATATAAAAATAATTATAGCAATATATTTTATTTTTTATATATTTGATATTAATCTTATAACATAATAATTTTTATTTACTATATTTATTTAGTTACTTCTAAAATAATAAATTTATCAATTCATATAATACAATAATTAATTATTTTAATTTATAATAAAATTAATTATTAATATAAAAAAAGTAATTATAATTATTTAAAGTCAAACCTAAAAAAAATATTAAAATATTTTAAAACGTTAAATGACAAAGCTTTTTATCTTACTACTAATAAAAAATATAAAAAAATAAGCATATGATACAGATTAAATAATAATCTTAATTTTTATATTTTATAATGATTTTATAGATGATAAAAATTAATATTGATATAATATTGTAAATATTTAAAATAGATTATTTATTTAACTAGTTATAATTTAGTAATATTGTGTTTATACGTTTTTAAATATAAAAATATTATAATATATTTATAAAATAAATAATATCTTTTTATTCCTATCGAAAAAAATATGTTAAATTTTTTTATATTTTTCACTTAGATAATTAGTTGAAACTATATATTATAATAATAAAATAATTTTCATAATTCTTTTTTAGTTTCTTTTTATTTTCTTTCTAATTTTTTCTTTTTCATAGCTTCTCTTTTAGCTTTTAATTCTGCTTTTCTAATTTAATCTTCTTATTCTAATTATTCTTCTACAGATTTTATTTTCTTTTAATTTTCTTATTCGTGTTATTTTCTTATTTCCTCGTTTTTTTATTTTTAATCGTCGTGAATTATAATAAACTTTAAAGCATCTTTTTAAAATTCATTTAATTAATAATCATTATTAAATTTTTCAAAGTTTTCAGTTTTAAACATTCCTTGATATTCATCCTAATCATATTAGTTTTTTTAAATTTATAAATAAATATCATTTGAATTATCATTTTAATCTATATAAGTGTAACATTCATATATAAGATCAGTTAAAATATAATCTTATGCTTATTTTTTTGATTTTCTTATAATGAATTTAGAAAAGCATTATATTCATTTTTCATTAAATTTAATTTTTAACGAGATGTAGCTAAGCAAATTGATAATTAAAGCCTTTGTTTTTATGTGTATTTTGTATTTATATATTATTAATCATCTTTTAATATTTATTATATTTTTTTTAGCCTTTATTATTTATTTACCTTATTAGGAAGTATCATCAACTTATAATGTTTGAATTAAAAAAGTTAATATTATTAAAATTGTAAATACAAATTCCATTTTTTATGAATATTAATGATTGGAGTGCTTTTAATATATATATATATATATATTTATAATTTAGAAAAAAAAAAAAAATTTAAGATTTTATATAAAAATAAATAATTAAAAACACGTATATAATTAAATTTTATAAAAATTAAATAATCATACTTATTTATATATTATTATTATAATATATCTTTTAAAAAAATTAAATATGAGTTTTAATTATTTTTATTTATTTTTTTAATAAAAGGGTAACTTTTTTTTTTATATATATATATAATAAATATTTATATAAATAATTATTTTATAATAGAAAAACATTATTTTTATATAATTAAATTAAAATTAAACTAAATATATTAAAAAATTTTTAAATAAGAAAAAAAAAAAAATCATTAATTTTTCTTCCTTCTACTTTCGAATTAACTGGAACTCTCAGATTCATAATCACTACTATTATCATGAGAAGAAATGTTTTCTGCTTCTTCTTATACTTCATTAAGTGCCGCTTTATAAACACCTTTACTCATAATGTCTTTGAATCCTTAAAAATTAAGATGTCCTTATTTATTTAAAAAAGGTGCTATTTCTTCAAAGATATTTTCAATTTCTTATTAAGGTAATTTTCTGCCTTCTTTAGCTAGCATCTATATATATATATATATAAATTAAACTAATTTAAAAATAAAAATAATAAAATAACATCAATAATATCTTCTTTAGTAATATAATTTTTTTCCATAGAATCTATATAAATAAAAGCATTATTAAGTTTCTAATTATTAAGATAATACTAATCATCTAATGTAGCAGCCAGAAATTCTGAATAATTGATTTTCTATATAGTTTAATTTTCAGATTCTTAATTTTCTTCGATTTTTTTATGATTACTACTATTATTATTTTTTTACTCTTAAGAGTTATTATTATACATACTTTTTCTTTTCTATTTTTTATTTGAAATAGTTCTCACTAACTCCTCAATAGCTTTAATGTCTTTAAATTATTCTTCTTATAATTTTAATTTATCAATAACATCTTTCAGTTCTTAAACACTAATAAAACCATTATTTTATTTATTCATCATTTTGAAAATCTCCTTTGGAGTTTGATTTTCATAGTGTTCTAATCTTTTTACCATTAATAATAATATTTCTCTTTTAAATGTAGTAGATTAATTATAATTAAGTAATCTATCTAATACTAATTATTTAGATCCTCTTTATCTTGGCAATAAAACATCCGAAAGAGTTTATTTTCTCAATTAATTGAACCAAGAATGCTTCATTCCTTCTTCTAAAGTTATTCTTTATTATGTATCCACTACTAGCATTTATTTTATCAAATTCTTCGCGTCTTAAGATATTATTTTCCAACAAGGAGCCGAAAACTAATAATTAGCAGTTTCTATACTTTTTATATCATAAAAAGGTAATTCTCCTGCTAACAAAGCGAACATAATACATCCCTTAATAAAAAAATGATATATTTACTTATTGATTTTTTTTTAAAAAAAAATACCAAAGACCATACATCGAATTCTTTATCATATTTTGAATTAAGGATAACTTCAGGAGCTTTTATTTTATATAAAAAAAAAATTAAGTATAAAAATAAATAAAAAAATAAACCCATATATTAATAAGACCCAACTTTAGTGTGTCTTTTTTTAGTTTAATCTTTAATTTTTTTAGAAAGACCGAAATCAATAATTTTAATATCGGCAATAGAAAGATCAGAATTAGTAAAAATTACATTTTCAAGTTTTAAATCTCTATGAACGATTTTTTAGTGATGTAAATAATTTACAGCCTAAAAAAGTTTTTGTATTATTTAAGCTACATTTTTTTCTGTATTATTTCTTGAATATATTAATGACTTTAAAGTACCACCTGAACAATATTCCATTACTACATAAATATTATATTTATCCATATATGTTTCTAAAAATTTACATATATAAGGATGATCTAATGATTTGAATATATCAATCTCCCTTTTTATATATATTGATAAACTATTCTTTAATGTACTTTTTTTTATTGTTTTTATAGCTACACGTTTGTCTGGATTTTTTATTGGAGTTGCTATGCATACTGAACCAAATGAACCACTTCCTAATTATTCACCAAATTTATAATAATAAAATATATTCTCGGATGATGATATAGTATGTTCCCCTTAAGTGCCGTCATTTATTTAAGGATCATCCCAAAAATCTTATTATACTTCGATATTTTTTGGTTTTCTTATTTAATTTAAGTCAGTTTCATCTACTTTATTACGGTTTTTTTACTTTACAGTTAAACAACCCATATTTAAATTATTTTACAGAAATATGTATATTTAGAAGATTATATTTATTTTTTAGTAAATTTTAATAATTTATTGATTTTTAAATTAACAAATTTTAATATATAATTAAATTTTAATAAATTATGTTTATTTTTATGATTTTATTTTATAGTTCTAATTAATAAAAAATTAATAATTGTGTAAATAATAAATTTATTTTTAACTTTTAGTATATTTATTTTATTTTATTTTAAAAAAAAGTTTTATTCAAAGATTAATAAAAACTTTAAAATAAAAAAATAGGCAGTTATTTATTTATAAAATTTATTATAAATAGTAATTTATATTATATGTAAATAATTAAATTTACTAAATATATATATTATTATATTTATATATTTTTGTGATATATATTTGATTTTTATTTGTCATCACTTTTTTTTTTAATTATAAATTTATTTTATAAGTTATTTTTTTTAATTATTATGTAAATTTTAAAACTATTTTATAAATAAAATTTTACAAATATTAAAATAAAATTATCAAAATGTAAAAATTATTTTTTTTTAAAAAAAAAAATATAAATATTTTTAATATCTTAAAAAGATTTTTTTTATTAATTTTAACTAAATTACAAAATTTATGAATTTTTAATTAATATAAAAAAAGCTAATAGCAAAAATAATAAATTAAACATTAAAGAATAATAGATTAACAAAACCAAATAAACATAATAATTAATTACTAAAATACATTTAAATAATATTTAAATTACTTAAATATAATTAAAATAATAATAATAAAAAAAAATATTAAATATACATAAGAGCCTAAATAAGTGAAAGGCTAAAAAAAAAAAAAAAAAAAAAAAATTAAAAAATATATAAAATTATCTTTCCCTCACAAAAGCAAAAAAAAAATAAAAAAAAATTAAAAAAAAAAATAAAGATAAAAAAAAAAAAAAAAGATAAAAACAAAAAAAAAACCACATAATTAAAAATGGTCGTAAAAACTGATATTTGCTCATTCAGTGAATATAAAATATACCCTGGAAGAGGTTAAAGATACTTTGCTAAAGACGGAAGAGGATTCTTTTTCTTAACCAAAAAAGCCAAAAGTCTTTCATTCAGAAAAGTAAAAGCTTAAAAAATTACATGGACAGTAGCAAGAAGAAGATTATTTAAAAAAGTAAAAAGCACTGATATTTCATTAAGAAAAAAAAAGAAAGCGGTAGTGACCTAAAGAGCAATTGTAGGTATTTCCTTAGAAGAACTAAACAAAAGAAAAAATTAAGATGCTTAAGTTAAAAAGGCTGAAGCTGAAAAATACCTTAGAGATTATAAATAGAAAAAATAATAGGTAATTGACAAGAAAAGAGCTGATAGAAAATTATAAGGAAAAGATACTAAGATTGCAAAAAAATAAGATGCTAAAAAAGTCAAGAACCCTAAATAAGCTAAAAAATAATGAGATTTTTAGCACTAGTTAATTATTTCTTTTTTAATATAAAAGAAGAAATAATTTATATTCTATTTTTATATTGTTTTTTTTTTTTTAAAAAAAAAAAATAAAATAAAAAAATGTAAGTATTTAAATATGTTCGAGCTATATTATGCTTTTTTTTTTTTTTTTTTAATAAAAAAAATAAATATTAAATATAATACTTTTCTTTTTATTGTTTATAATAATATTTTGTTAGTTTAATCTTTCTTTACTTTACTTTACTTTGTTTTAAAAAAAAAAAATATTTCTTAATTTTATTTATTAAATACTTCTTAATTGTTAATAATTATAGTTTTTTTTATTTAGATATTAAATATTTAAAATTCTTTCATTTTTTAATTTTTAAATTATTATACTTTAATTACTTTTTTATAAAATACTAAATTATATGAAAATAATAAATTTGAATATAAAAAAGTATACTCTTAGTTAAATATAAATAAATAAATAAAAAAAATAGTAAGTAAATAATTTAAACAGATATACTTTTTCAATACTAATTATTCAAAAAATAGTATTTATTCTATATTTAATTTTTAGTAAATTTATAGCTATTTTTTTAATTTGTTTTTGGTTTAGAATAACCCATCGTTTTTTATTCTTTTTTCTACAAAATTTTACTTTAATTCTAAATATTTTTTCTAAAAAAAAATATTAATATTTATAAATAACTACATTTTAAGTTTTTATATATTCTTTTAAATTTACCACCTATTACAAAACGAAAACTATTTAAAAGTAGTTAAAGGCTTAGTTGATTTATATACAATAAAAGGAACTTAACCTTTTGGGTTACTTTATGATTATTATTTGCTTATATTATTATAAGAAGAAGATTTACTTTCAAAACTTTTTCCAAAAATCGAATAGCTTAAGTTTATTTCTGTATTTTATCTAGTATTTAATTTTTAGTTTAAATTATAAATGCGTTAAGGTTACAAATTAAGGCTTTTAGATATATTAAGACTTCTGGAGCGTATTTTGTTCGGTTTAGAGAATTATTATTATGATTTATTTATATTTAAAATAGTTTTTGTAGATTATTTTTTTGAATTTGATTTACTATTATTATATTCATAATTCTTTTTTTTTTGCAAATAAATTGTAAATAAATTACATTAAACTTATTTTTCTTCTTTTTTTATTTTTTTATTTTTTATAATATTTTTTTTAAATTATTACAATTCATTTTTTTTCGAATTTAAATGAAATATTTATTCATTTCAAAAAAAAAAAACTAAAAAATTTATATTTAATTAATTATATAAAAAATATAATAATAATCTTATTAAAAAAATTAATTAAATTATATTAAAATTATATCTTTATATTTAAATTAATTATGTAATTTATTTTAAATATATAGCAATTTTATATCATTTTACAAAAAAATATTAAAATAGTTTTTCATATATATATATATATATGTATATTTATATACCTTATAAAATAATATTAATATGCATTAAATAAAATAATAAAAAGTTTTGATCATTTGCGGTCTCTAGGGGGTCTTTTAAATGCCCAATCAACTTATATTTTTTAATTTAAAATAGTGGTTCCATTTAATTATTCAATTGCTGCTTACGCATCTTTTATATTTTCATATTAAACTAATGCATATCCTTTTGCGTATCCAGTTCTTCTGTCTAAATTTAAATGGCAGTTTTTTATTTCTCCAACTTCACAAAAACTATCATAAATATGATCTTCTGTAGTTTCTTAATCTAAACCTGAAACAAATACTAACCATCCATCAACAGCTTTTATTTTCTATAATTTAAATAAAGAGTTAATAAATATATATATACATTTTTATGGTCCTTCATCATCATTATTATCTAGAGAACTAAAAATGCCATGTTCTCCTTAATATCTTTCGGACATATTAGATAAATTATTTTTTTTCATTTTTAGTAGTTTTTATAATATTTTTTTTATTTATATAATTAGATATAAATATATATATATATTTTTTTTTTATAAAAAAAAAAATAATTTTAATAAAATTTAAAAATAAAATTTATAAAAATAATTAATAATAACAATAATATATAAACACAGAATTCTCCTTATCACCCCCCCCTGAAAAACAAAAAAACAAAAAAAACAAAAAAAAAAAAAACAAGTAAAAAACTCATAAAAAATATGGCAAAACTTATTTATAATTAGTAGCTTTCGCACTTTCCGGTACCGAATTAAAAATAGTAAAAGAACTTAAAAGGTTTTAATCAAAAGCTAAAATACTAGCAACACTTCCCATTCTATAGCAATAATTAGGCGCACTCCAAACAGTGACTAAATTTTCTTATCAAACCAATATTTATACCCATCTTAAGCCAATTAATGAGCTCTACAAATTAATTCCAAATCATTCAAAAAATTAAACTCATCAGTAGGCTTATTTCCGAAAATCCATCCAGCTCCTCTTGGACTAATTTACCATCCTTCAAGTTCATCTGGATCAGACCACATAAGATCACAAAAAGGTCCTTCATGTGGAATTTCAATACATCTATTAATAGTTCTTATTTAGTCTATGGTTCTTATATCAGGTGATAAACCTCCGTGAATACAAAAAATTTTCTATTCAATAATCGCACCAATATTCAAATAATCAAAACATCTGTAAATTATTTCCAGGCATTTATATTTCCATATTTCTTGATATTTCTTCGTAAAATCCATATGCCTATGTAATTTAACGAGATTCATGATTACCACGTAAAAGAGTTATTTTCCTGGATATTTTACTTTTAAGCAAAATAAATATTCGATTGTTTCTATACTATTGTATCCTCTGTCTACAAAATCTCCTATAAATATGTAATTTGTTAATGGAATTTCACCACCTCGTTAAAATAACTCTAATAAATCGTAAAATTGGCCATGAATATCTCCACATACTGTCACAGGAGCAGATACTGGTTGAATATTTGATTCTTCTATTAGAAGTTCTTTTGTTTTTTGTAATAATATGCGAAGGTTTTGTTCTGATAATATCTCTTTTTCTACTTTAATTGTTTATAACCAAGAGTCTACATCTGTTTTCATTTTTTTTTAGATAAATAGGATTTTTTATTTATTCTTTTTTTTTTTTTTTTTTTTTTTTTAAGGAAATAAAATTTTTAAAATAACTTTTTTTATTTTTTTATTGTTTATATATTTTTTATTTTTTTTTCTTTCTTTGTTTATTTTTTATATGCTTTAAAAAGTAAATATTGTTACTTATTTTTATTAAATTAAAAAATATTTTTATTGTACTTAAATATTCATAATAAACCTAATAAAATATAATAAATATATTTTAAATTTAAATAAATTATTTTTATTATTTATAAAATTTTATATAATTCTTTATATTATTTTATTAATTTTTAATAGGAACAAAACATTAATTTAATAAAATTATATATAAATAATTATCCTAAAAAAAAAATGCATAATTTATACGATAATAACATTAAAAATAATTATAATAATACTATATAACCTAAAAATTTAAATACTTAAAATAATGTCCATGAATAATATAGGTAATCATAATAATATATATATATATATATATATATATATATATATATATTTTTATATTAAAAATAAAACAGTCTTAATAATAAAAATGCAAAATATTTATGTATATATTCAAATAAGCAATAATATCAAACAAATGATTAAGAAAAATAATAGTTGAAAATAAAAACAATATATATATATATATATATATATCTTTTATTTTTAATATATATAAATATTAATATTTTACTTAAGAAGCTCTAATTAAAACAAAGCAGTATTAAGATTAAGTTAATAATCAAAGTTTTATTAGACAGATCCTAATTTTAATAAAAATGAATTATATATGTGTTATAAATCATTAAATGAATAAAAGTATTAGAATAAACATAAAATAAATAATTCTTTAAATAAATTATAAAAAAAAGCTGAAGCAATAAAAAACTAATATAACTTAAAAACTTTAAACTTTAATTAAAAATAATAAAATTAAAGTAAAAAATATATATATATATATATATAAACAAATAGAATCAAATTAAAAAAAAAAGATAAAAAACCTAATAATTATGAAGAAAGTAATGCATTATGAATAAATAAAAATCAAGAATAATTATACAATTACGATATAGATATAGATAATTAATAAAATATTATTAATAGTAATAGCAAAAAATAATATTCATTACATAAGATATAAAATAACAATATGAATTAAAATATTTATAATTAAAATCAACATATTCTAAAAACCGGATATGATAAGAATTTTATTCAAAAAAATACTTTTTATTAACTAAAGGATATTTAAGAAAACAATTTGTAAATCATTAATGAGTAAACTAAAGAAGAAGATAATAATCTAAATTAAGAAACACTTAATGAAATATAAAAAATAAGATAAAATAGACCTAAAACATCCGAAGGAAGAAAAAGAATTCATAAATTATCATTTAAAAATAAAAATGAAAATAATAATATTAATTTAAACTTACAAGTAATATAATTCTTATTTTTTATATAATATATATATATATAATCAATAAAAAAATAAAGGAAAACTAAAACATATGTACATCCCAGAATTTCTCTCCTTTAAAAAGTATAAGAGAATATATATTAATTCAATTTGTTTTTTTTATAAAAAAATAAAAATAAATAAAAAAAGATGCAAACGAAACAGACTAGTAATTTGGCGAAATAATAGTAAATTCTCCAGAAATAAAGCAATAACTTTTTATATCTTAAATATAATTTTATTAAAACAACTAAAATAAAAATGATTTTACTGTTAAAAAATTTAATAATCAAGATGATTTTAGAAAAACAACAAACTTTAATGAATTAGATAATTATAAATATAAACCTAAATATAATTTGATAAAAACAACAAATAATAATTAATATAATAAAGAAACCTTTTTCATTTCCAAATAATAAATTAATAATGAAATTCCTTTTGAAGTTCATGTTAAAGAAGAAGATAATAAGTATTTATTTTATGTATTAAAAAATATATAGTATTTATAATTTAATATAAAAAAGGGAATATAAAATTACTGAAAAAACTAATTTTTAAAAAAAAGATTAATTATTAGATTCTAATGATAATAAAATAATTATAAGACATAATAAAAGTTCTTAAAAAAAGCAATTATAAAAGAAAAGTGAACAAAAACAATAACATGAATTTATTAACTAAAGTGATTAACTTGATCAAAATGAATTAAAAACTAATTTAGATAAAAACTTTATTAATCTATTTGCTTAAATAGAATGATTAAATAGTAAAAATACTAAAATAAATATAAAAAAATTATATGGTAATATATAAATTTAATCGTCTATACTATATCAATTATAAATTTAAATATATTATTGTTATTTTTTAAAGTAAATATATTAAATTTGAGTAATTTTTTTTTTTTGTATTTATTGCTTTAGCTATATGTTATTCTTATTTCGTTCTCAGCTTTTCTTTATTTTATTATATATCATATTTATTTAAATAAACATTAATTTGATTAAATATTAAAGTAAATAAAATAATCATTATTAATAATTAAATATATAAAAATAATTATTCTATTAATCAAACACATATTTAATTCTATATTATATTAATAAAAAAAAGAAAAACATTATTCTATAAAAAACAAGCCATATTCATACAAAACAAAACAAAAACTTTCAATAAATATTTCCATAATAAACCCTTTAATTAAAAAAATCGCAAAACTAATAATAATAATTATTACGTATATACCTCTTAAATACGAATTATAATTAAAAAGCATAATAAAAATACCGAAAGATAAGAAAAAACTAAAAAAATTTAATAAACTGGATATTTATAAAGGATATTAAATCAAATAAGTTATCTAAACTTGAAAAAAAAAAATCAACTATGTATAAATTATATAGACAATAAAATGTAAAAAATTAAGTAATAAGTATAATCTTTTTGAAAAAAATAAATTTTTTAAACCTGAATTTAAATTAATAATATATTGGAAGTTTCTATATTTATTAATACTAATATAATTTTTTTTTTTTTTTATTACCTTATTAATTATAATTAATTGATTTAAATGAATAAATATATATATATATAATTTTGTTATTATTTTTACTTTAAGATGTTATTTTTGAAAAATAATTTTATTGTAAACCATATAATTTAATAATAATTGCTTATTTTAATTCTTTTTTTTAAAAAAAAATATTATATAAAAAATAGTCTTTATATTGCATCATAAAAAGGGATATTATTCAAATATATGCTATTTATTAAAATTTTTCTTATATTTATAGACTTATAAGTTTAATTCTTATCGTTATATATATAAGATATATTTGTGTTTTTTCATTTTTTAATATTTAATAAAAAAAAAAGAAAATTAAAAAATATGGTAAAAAAAATATATATCTATATATAAATATAAAGTATTATAAGATATTTTGTTTAAAAAATAAAAGACTTTTTAAAAATAAATGCGTGAAAAAATTCAAAAAAGAAAGATATTTATCAATTTTAAATTATGAAAAACTTTATCAAAGTATATTTACAAAAAAAATATGAATTAAAATATTTTATTAATATAAACTATACATCATCTATTAATTGGTATGTACGTATATAATAAATCATAAAGAATATTAAAATAGTAATATTTTAAAGCTTTAAATGATAATTATAAAATAAAAATTAAACTTAAATAATTTCGAGTAAAATCAATATTTTATTACTAGATTTTTTAAAATCACACCAAAAATTAAATCTGATAATAAATAAAATTTTTATAATATATTATATATAAAGAAAGTTGAAGAATACGAAGGTACCTTTTAAATAAAATAAAAATAGATAGAAAATTAAAAAGAAGATTTGTTAAAAAAATCATATATATTTAAATAAAATTATAGAAAAAATAATAAAAAAATAAATAAAGATTAATTCGTATTTTTTTAATTGGAGAAATTTAATTGTATTTGAAAATTAATTTTCTTCTTAAAAATATAATTATCTTTACAAATTAAAAAAAAGTTAAAAATAATTATAATAAATAATAATTAAAAATAAATTTAAAATTATTAAATAAAAAATATCAAAAAAAATAATTTTAAATATATAATTAAAAAAAAAAAATTCAAAAAAATAAAAAAACATAAGAGAAAGAAATATAAAAATCAAACGATTAATAAAGATAAAAATAATAATATTTAATTATAAGAGAAAAAAAGAAAAGAAGTTCATTTAAATAAAAAATTATTTTAATATTTTAATATATTAATATAAAAAATAAATAGAAACTAAAATAGATAAAAATAAAATAATAAAAATAATTAAAAAAAATATAATAATACATAAAATTTAATTTCTAAAAATAAGAAATAAAATAAAAAAAATGTTAAATTTAAATAAAATTAAAAATTATAATAAATATAATAATAAAAAAAATAATAATAACAAATATAATAATAATAATAATAATAATAATAATAATAAAAAATATAATTATTTTATTTATAATATTAAAAATAATATTCACAATTATAATTCTGATATTTTTAATTATAATAATTTTAATATAATAAAATTAATAATAATTTTTATTTCTAATTAATAAATATATCTATTTTATAATATTATTAAATATATGATATTTTTAATACCAAATTTTTTATTATAATTAGTTTCTCTTTAAAAATATTTAAGTCCTAATAAATTAATATTTACATTATTATTATCTTTTTTTTTTATTTAAAATAAAATAAAGTTATAATTATTTATAAATAAAAAAAATTTTAATTTTTATTTTATACATTATAATTCATATATTATACCAATATGAATATATTTAATAAAAATTTTTTATATATTTTTAAAATAATTAATATAATTATTAAAAAAATTCTATCCTCTCTATTGCCCTCTAAAATTATTATTATAACCATAAAAAATATATTTTTAATTATTTTTTATTTTATTTATAAAAAACATATCTAAAATATATATATTATTTAACAAATTTTTATAAAAATTTTCCTATTATAATTCATTTTGAAATTATAATTAAAAGATTTAATTATTTATCAGGTAATTTTTATTTATTATTTTAAAATATTTTATGTAAAATAATATTAATAATTTTAAAATGTAAAAAATATAAATATAAAACAAAAATAAAGATTAATTATATATAAAAAAATATATAAAATTCTAATAAAAATATTATTATTTCGAAAAATGTTTGCGTTAAAAGCAGAAAAAAAAAAAAAAATTAATAAATATTAATAATATTCTTTTATTGAATTTTAAAATTTTATATGTGTTTTTTATAAAAGTATAATATAAATGAATTAATTGCATTTTTTATTTTTTGTATTTTTATAATTATTTGTTATTGATATTTTTTCTAATTATAAAATAATTTTTTAAATTTCATATATCTATAGAAGCAAAAATATATTTATGATTTATTATTTCCAATATATGATAATATTTAAACACTAATATTTTACTGAAAATATTTTTTTTAAAATATATTTAGTTTTTTTTTAAATAAAATTATTATATATATAACTAAATTGTATATTTTTATTTTTTTATAATATTAATATAAATATACTTATTTTTCAAATAAAATTTAAATATTTAATTATTTATCATTAAATTTTTATTAATTATTTTAAAAATATAAATTTCAGGCATAAAAAATAAATTATTACTATAAGAAAAATAAAAAACACGAAAATAAAAATAAAAATAAAGAAAAAATTTAAAAAAATATATAAAATTACCATAATAATAATATAAATATATAAAAATATTCAAAAATTTTCACTAATATTTCAAATTTTAATTATTAGAAAAAATTATAATTATTTTATTATATTTTTATTTTAGTAAAATTATAATATATATTATAAAATATTTTCTTCTTTTTACTATATATTTTGTGATTTTATTTTATTTAATTATAATAAACTATTTAAATATTAAAAGTAAATTTTATATTTTTTATATTTTTCTAAAATTAAAAATGTATTTATAATTTATTTATAAACAAATATAATTATATTTAAATAAGTAATTTAATGAAAATATGTATTTAAATTTATGAAGTATTTTGAAAAAAAATATTATTATATAAAATAGAAAAAAAAAAAAGAAAAATCATTTTATAATTTTTTTTTCAAAAAAAAATAAATAAATATCATTATTATAACATTATAAAATTAATTAAATATAGTTAAAATAAAAAAAATTAATTAATAATTTTTATTTTTAATAATAAAATATAAGTTCAAAAAAAATAATTGTATTTAAAAAAAATAATTTAAAAATACTAGAATTTTTTCTTTTTTACATATAAATTATAATATAATGGGTTGTAATACTTCTAAAAGTTAAACTAGAATAAATAGAATTATAAAGAAACCAAATAAAACTTAACTTATAGAATAATAAAATTGTATTAAATAAATAAAATCAATAAAAATAACATTAAATAAAAAAATAGAGATAAATGATTTAAAAAATTTATACATATCAAAAGCAGATATAATATCTGAAAAAAAAAATATAAACATATAATAAGATTACATATTTTTAGAATCAATAGGAAAAGGTTTTTTCTTTATTAAAAAAAATAAAAAAAAAAAAATATAAAATATATAGGTTCATTAGGTGAAGTAAAAAAAAGCATTCATAAAATCTCATAGACAATAAAAGCAATAAAAATAATAAAAAGAGAACATTTACCAATATAAGATTACATAAAACTAAAAGCAGAATTTTAAATATTAAAACAATTAGTGATTATTTTATAATATAAAATAAATATAAAAAATAATGCTCAAAATTTATTTATCTTTAAATTTAAAAAAAGGATCATCCAAATATAATTAAAGTTATAGAATCATATTCAGATTAAAAAAACATTTATATAGTAACCGAATATTGTTAAGGAGGAGAATTATTTGATAAAATTTAAAAAGAAAAATTCTTTACAGAAAAAAAAGCAGCTTAAATTTTTAAATAAATATTATAGGCTATTAATTATTGTCATTTAAATAATATAGTACATAGGGATTTAAAACCCGAAAATATTCTATTTGATACGAAGTTATACACCTGATTCTTTATTAAAAATTGTTGATTTTGGTACTTCTATTGCTCTTGATTCTTCATAAAAAATGAATTAAAGACTAGGCACACCCTATTATATTGCTCCAGAAGTTTTATAATCTTAATACGATAATAAATGTGATATTTGGTCGTGTGGAGTAATCCTTTATATAATGCTAAGCGGTATTCTTCCATTTAATGGAACTACAAATGATGAAATAGTAGAAAATGTAAAATAAGGAAAATTATCTTTTGAAAATGAAGAATGGAATTATATATCTTAACAAGCTAAAAATTTTATTAGAAAAATGCTAGAATTAGATCCTACATAAAGGCTTTCAGTATTTTATTATAAAAAATAAAATATATTTATTTTATTTTTTTTAAAAAAAAAGGCTTCTTAAGCACTATAAGATCCTTGGATAAAAAAGTTTAATAATAATTAAAATTTGGATTTTCCTAATTTATATAAATCAATTGAAAATATGAAAAATTTTAATGTATTTATTTATACTTATTCATTTTCTATATTTTTATTTATTTTAGGCTGATAAAAAACTATAAGAAGCAACTTTAATTTTTTTTATTAATAATTTTGCAAGTAATGAGGAAAAAAATTAAATGTTGAAAGTTTTCTAAGGCTTAGATATAAATGGTATTTATAAATATGTTTTATTTTTAAATATATATATATATATATATATATTTTATTTTTAAATATATATATATATATTATTTTTAGGTGATGGAAAAATAAGTTAATAGGAACTTATTGAGGGGTTCGAAAAAATTTACGAAGATAAAAATTTGGCTAAAATAGAAGCATAAAAAGTATTTTAATCTGTTGATAGAAATAATTCAGGAGAAATTGATTATACAGGTATTTTTATTAATAAATATTTATTTTATTAATTACATATTATTTAAAATAAGAATGGATAATGGCTACAATTAATACAGAATAATTATTATCAAAACAAAGAATAAATGCTGCTTTTTAAATGTTTGATAAAGTAAAAATAAATAAAAAAATAAAATAAAAAAAATTAAAGGATGGAAATGGAAATATTTCAATAAATGAAATTTAATAAATATTTTAATCTTAAAGTTAAATAGATTCAAATGTTTGGATAGAAATGGTAAAAGAAATCGATCTTAATGGGGATGGATAAGTATTTTTTTAATTTTTCTTATTTATAATTATTTTATAAGATATCATTTTCAGAGTTTAAAGAAATGATGATGAAATTAATATATTAAAAAAATTCTGGAAATACACAAACAAGCTTAAGAGATATATAATGATAATTTTTTAATATATAATTTAGTTAGTTAATTTAATTTATTTAGTAAGAAAATATTCATTTTTTTACAAATTATTTATTATATTTTTCAAAATCTACTAAAATATAAAAACTTTCTTAAAATAAATAATTTCTATAATAAAAAAAAAAAAAAAACCACAAAAATTTAAAACTTTAATTATATGAATATATGATAGATAATATATAATCCCACAAAAAAAAAAAATATATTATAATAAAAAATCATTAAGAGGCTCTAAAACTACCCAAAACCATAGCATGATCTCTTTCATAAGGTTCTAAAGTCAATTATTATTCAGGTTTAAGTCCCTCTTCTTTTAATTTTTAAACTTCAGCATCAAAAACAACAGCAGGTTCATTAGTACTATCAATACAACAAGCTTTAATTGAAATAAGGAAATGTCCTCCATTTTTTAAAAAGTATTAACAGTTCATACCTATAATTCTAGCTTGATCAGGTTATGCTACATCGGCAAAAACAACATCGACCATATCAACTAAAAATCTATATTCCAAAGGTTTTCTAGCATCACCAATAATAGGGACTACATTATTTCTTTTTTTGCCATATTAACTAAATCTCTTCCACTTCTATGTGAAAATTCAACTGCATATACAGTTCCAGTAGGTCCGACTATATCAGATACATGTGATACTGTAGTACCAGAAGCAGCACCTATTTTAAAAATAAATATTTTTTTAAGAAAAAAATAAAAAAAATATAAATATATATATATATATATATATATATATATATATATATATATATATATATATATATATATATATATTTATATATATATTTTACCTAAATATAAAACTTTTGATCCTGGTCTAATAAAAGTGTCTTTTATACCTCCTACTATTGCAGCAGCAATTTTAGACCTATAAGGATTCCATACTCTATATTCTATTTTCTCACTATTTTCTTCTACTGATACACGCTTTTCATTATATACGGATTCTCCTGGATAAAAATTTCTAGTTACTAAAGCTTCCTATACACCTTTGCATACAAATACTCCAGGTAATCTATGTTTAACTATAATTGTCTTTGCTCCTCTTCCCATTCCTCCTTTTCCTCCACGGCCACCACCTCTTGGAGCGCCTCCTCTTGGAGCACCTCCTCTTGGAGCACCTCCTCTTGGGGCACCTCCTCTTGCGCCGTTTCCTCTATTGTTTCCTCCTGTGAAATCTTTCATTTTATTTTTATTGTATTTTTTAGATTTTATTATTTTATTTTTTATATTTATTTTTATTTTTATGTCTTTGATTTTTTTGTATTAATATTAATTTGGTCCTTTTTTTGAAATTAAAATACTATTTATTTTTGTTTTTGTTTATTTATTAATATATTTTTATATAAATAATTAGAATATATATACAATAAAAAATATTATTTTTTTTTATAAAAAAAAAATTATAGATGTTTTATTTTTTTACTAATTAAAAAAAAAAAAATTTAAGTAGTTTTTAATCATTTTTAGATACTAGATATTTAAATATTAATTTTTAATAATAGAGAATATTATAAAAATATTTATATCCAATTATTTATTATTACAAAATAAATAAATAGCATAATTATTATGAAATTTTTATTAATTTAAAATAATTAAATAAACCAAACTTAAAAATCCTAAAATTCACATGTCCAATATTCATAATAAAGCTTTTTTATGTTCAAATTTTATTATATGAAAATTGATTTTATTATTTATATTTTATAGCCAAAAAATATTATTATTATTAATAAACTAAAAATATAAAAATTAGATAAATATTTTTAAAAATATATAAATTCATATTAATAAAATATTTAATAAACATATTTTTAATTTTATATAATAATTTGATATTATTTATTTTAAAGATTTAATTTAATATTTTATAAGCTAAAAAAATATATTTAAAGAATTATTTATATAAAAAAAATATTAAATATTAGTAAAATAATTATTATATAGTTTAAATATTAACAAAAATAAAAGAAATTATTTAATATATAATAAATACTAAAATATTTATAAAATTATAAATTTAAAAATATGTTTAATAAATATTCTAAAAATGAAAATCAAGAATAGTTTTAAATTATTAATTTAGTATTACTTATCAATTTAAGTTAAAGAAAAAAAAAAACAAAATTTATATAAAAAGATATATTGAATTAATAAATATTAGAAAAACTTAATATACACTTAATAAAATTAAATAATAAAATATAAATATAAAAAATTATTTATATAAAATAAATATTATATAATATATAAAAAAAAAATTAAATTAAAATCAAAAGATAATAATATTAATGAAAATGTAAAAAATATGTTAACTTTCATATAAATTATCTCTTTTAAAATCAATTATACGTAATCAATATTAGATAAAATACGGTTTCTAATTACCATTTTCTCCAAAAAGACCTTTAAATTTTAATTTGTTTTTATGTAAAATATCTTAAAAACATTAATAAAAGATTATTCACTTTATTAAAAATATAAGATGAATTTCAGATAACTTTTAGTAAAAGAATAAGAAAAATATTAATAAATATTAGATGTATATAACAAAAATCTACAAACTCCCTAAAAGACCATTTTCAATATTTATAAGTTTAGTATAAAAATATTATAGTAAAAATGAAGGTAAAAGTTAAAATGTGACTTAAAAAAATAAAAGAAATAAAGGGAATTTACTAAAACTTGACATAAGAAGGAAAAAGTAAATACTAAGATCTTTAGTAACAATAAGATTAAAAATATGAATAAGAACTTTAAGAATTCTATAAATAAAAAACTCTTAAAACAGGATCCCTGAATATTAAAAATTATAAGGTTATAATATTTTCATTTAAAAATAATATACCCCAATCATAAGATAAAAAATAAAAAGAACTTTTTGACTAAATTATGTTAAAAATGGAAAAAATTAAATAAAGAAGAAAGATACAAATATAATGAAAAAGCCAGAATTTATAAACAATTAAAAATCTTAATAAATTTTCCCTTAAAAATATGATATTAATATGGAAGAATTAAAAAAAAAAAAAATTATAAATAAGAAAAATTCGAAAAATAATATAAATAAAAGAAACCATAAAAAATAAATAAGAATATGTTTCTAAAAGGATGCCAATAAAAAATAGTAAAGATTAAGAAATATTAAAAATGAATTTATTAAATAAATATAAAATTATATTAAATAATATTTAAAAAATTATAAAATATAATTTTTTATATAAATTTATTTTAATATATAATTAATTTATTATTAAAAATTACGTTATTATTTATTAATTAATAATATATAATTTAAAGTTCTATATATTTTATTAAAGCGAGAGTTTCTAAATTTTTCGTTTAACTTAATTTTCCAGGATTCTCTACAAATATAATTTAAAATGGTTTCAAGGTTAAAAAATTATAAAATCCTATAAGATAAATATTTTATTTTCCACATATAACATATCCAATATATATATTTAAATAGTAAATAAGCATTTTTAAATATTTAATAGAAAAATAAAATTGAATCAATAAATATTAATTAATATATGAAAATATAATAACAACTCCTTATTTTTTAATTTTAAATAAAAATACATTAACTTACAATAAAATATTGTATTTATTTCTACTATTAATTAATAATAAATAAAATAAGTGAAAACATATATAGAATAATATTGGAAAATATTACTTTTAACAAAAATTATATCTACACATCAGAAAAACATTCTAAAAATAGTTTTTATAATTATAGTACTTCTTTTTTATTAAAAATATAAAAAAAAAAGTACAATTAATATAGATATGACTAATAATAGGAATATATAAAATAATAAAAAATAAAAGTTAAAATTTTGACTAATTTTATAGATATTAAAGGAAAAACTACATAACTTTTAAGTATTATTTTTTTTAAAAAAAATCGATTTCTAGAATTTTAAATAATAAAATTAAATCGGAGCAATGTAAGTTTTTTTTATACTAATATACTATAAAATATATTTAATATTTGATTTTTATTTCTCATTATTCAATTGGGTTTGGATTAAAATCAAATACTGTACCTTCTATTATTTTTTGATATTATTCTCTTAATTTTTTTTCTTGTTCGTCATTTAAAGTCTCTTAAATTCCATAAAACTCTCTTAATTCATTTAAAGTTTTATCTTTTTTTTTATTTTTAGTATATAATATTTAATTTACCTATAAATTAACAAGCTACAAAAGCACATATCTATTCTTATAAAAATATAATATCTAAATATTATGCTGCCTTTAATTTATTTTTTATTTTTTTATCATGTAAAATAAAAATTACTCTCAATAAATCATATCTTCCTTAATCTTGTAAGCTTTATAAAAACTTATAGTCTTTATCATGTAAATATAAAGATATATTGCTGCTTAAAATAGGTTTTTATATTGGTTTAGGTTTATAATCATATCCTCTTTCTTTTATATATTATAAAATTTATTTTATTAAAATTCCTGGAAGATCTACTTTTAATTAAGCTATAAAAAAAAATAAAAAAATTATTATTATTAAAACACATATTTATTTTTAAAAAGAAAAAATAATTACAATCTTTTTATTTTTCATTAAATAAATTAGAATACTAAGCCAATAATTATTTTTCTATTTAAAATTTCAAATTATCATTGCTTAAAATAATAAATTCTTCTTATTCAATTTACATTTTTTTCTATCTAAATAAATTAAAAAAAAATAAAATCTTTTATTTTACATAAAAAAAAAAAAAACCAAAAAAACCAAAAAATTTTCTTATTAAAAATTATTTTTAAATTTAAATAATTATTTCATTTAAAAATAAATAGAAATAAAGTCATATATATTTACTATAAAAAAAAAAAATTGTAAAAATGGAACTTACTGAATAAAGAAAACAAGACATATTAAATAAATTACGTGAAGAACGTTAAAAACGTAAAAATTAAAATATTTATAATAACTTAAACATTCTAAAAAGAAACAAATTATTAAGATATAGTAGATCGAAGTGACGATAAGTACAAATTAGAATCTTTAATATAAGAAAAGATGGAATAAAATTCCTAATTATTTTCTTTAGATTATATAAAATAGCGTTTAAATGAAAAATTATAATAAAATCAAGAAACAAAACAAAAAGTATCCCAAAATAACACAAAGCCACCTTCTACATTTGCTTAAATTATGATTTCTCATAATAAATAAACAACAACAGATCGTGAATAAAATTAAAAATAAAAAAAGAATCAATAATTTATTTAAGAATAATTCAATATATTATCAGAAAGCGATAACTTTGTAGAAGACAAGAATATATAATAGCAAGAGTATATATATATATATATATATTTTTTTAAAAAAAAAAAAAACTAAAAAATAGTTATTTTTATACAAGAAAAAGAAGTACAAGCCATAATTAAAAAAAAACAGAGTAAGAATATATATAATCTTAATAGTATCCATTTAAGCCTTAAATAAACGATCTCCCTTAACAAATATATGGCGAAAGTGAAAATATAAATATTTCTAAACAGGAATAATGGGAGAGACTTTTAAAAGATAAAATAAATGCTATTACAGAACGCGATAATCAAAAGATTATTTATCAAAAATAAGAAATAGAATAAAATTGTACATTTAAACCTTAAATAAATGAAATATCCAAACATATAATGGCTGATAAACCATCAGATATGTAAAAAAACAAATAAACTCTAAATTATAAAAAGATAATTAAATAAATAAAGGCCAATTTAAGAGCGTTTGTATAAAGAAGCAGAAAAAATATAATAATAAAAAGAAGAACTAAAACGAAAACATGAAAATAGTTAAATTTACACATTCAAACCTGATATATAATAAAGTATTTCAAATTTAAAAGGTGAACTTGCCTTTACAAAGCCTCTATATTAAAGACTTTAGTAAGTTATGTAAGAAAAATAAGAAAATTTATTAGAATTATAAATAAAAAATTAAAATGATAATTAATACACATTTAAACCTGAATTAAATTAAAAAGTAAATATCTTGAAAAAAAAAAAAAATATATAATAAAAAAAAAAAAAAAGACTTACTAAATTGCTAAAGAAAAATTACAAGGAAAAAATGTTGTATAAAGACTTTTAATAGATGCAATTGACAAAGAAAACAGAAAATCGAAAATAATAGAAGAAAGTTAACTTTCTATAAATAAACTTTGTACATTTTAACCATAAATAAATCCTTCTAATAGATCTGATTATTAAGAAGATGAAAATCAATCAAAAAGATAGCAAGAGTTTGTTTAAAGATAATATTTAATGGCAGATTATTTAAAGGAAAAATTAGAAGAAAAAATAAAATAAATTGATAAAGATAGCGAATATAAATTTAAACCTTAAATAAATCCAATAAGTAATTATTTAATTAATGCAGATGAAGAAAGAGCGCGTGAAACAACAGATGATAAAATAAAAAGATTATATGAATAAGTAAATAAAACTTAAATATTCTATATATAAAAATAAAATAAAAAGGATCTATATAAAAAACAAATGGTCAAAGAATAAATATCAAAAGCATATTATGATAAATTTACGTTTCAACCTGAAATAAATAAAATTTCAAAATAATTAGGAAGGAAAAGTTCACTTGATTCTTTAGCTTTTAATAAAGACAATACAAAGAAATTAAAAAAAAAGGAAGTAATTATTATTTTTGTTAAAATAATTTTTTTTGTTTTTTTAATAAAAAAAAAGTTATTAGAACAAGAAAAAATGAAAGAATGTTCTTTTTAACCATAATTAATAAAAAATAATAAATATAAAAACATTGAATCTAATTATGCCATAAATAATATAGCCAAATCTTTATAAGAAGAACGTCAGAATAAGCAACTATTAATTTAATAAATTAAAAAGTATTTAAATAAGCAAACATTTTTATAAAACAAAAAAATAAAAGAGAATTAGAATATGAGGAAATGAAAGAATGCACATTTAATCCGATAACAAAAGAGTTCGAAAATGGAGATTATAAGGAAAAACTAAATGAAGTTAAAGGAGTAGATAGATTTTTATTATAAAAAGAGCTATAAAAAAATAAAGAAGAATAAAAGAAAAAAAGGGAAGATGAAGTTTTTACCCTTAAAAGCTATAGTTAATATCGATAATAAAATAAAACTATTTTTCAGCCATTTAAGTTATCGAAAGTATATTTTTAATATTATTTAAATTTATTATAAAAAACAGGGTAATGGCCCAAACAAAAATAAATTAAGAGAAGAAATAATGAAAGAATGTCTTGAATAATGCACTTTTTAACCTTAGACAAACGAAGCTAAGAACCGAGAAGCAATATAAAGAATTTTAGATAGAATGGAAAAATAGAATTAATTTATTAATGAAGATGATAATGGGATTGAATGAAGTATTTTTATTTAATCCGAAACAAATATAAACAAAAAAATTACGAAAATGATAAATAAATTTATAAATATATTTTTATAAAAAAGCAATCAATAAAATAAATAATTATAAGGTAAACTTTACTTAATTTTTTTCGACAAAAAAGTATAAATAAATTAAATATAAACAAATAATATTTATAATGAATAAATTTAAAACAAAATAAAATTATATATTATATTATTTTTACTGTAATTTTTATTAAAAACTCAATTATTAATAAAAAAAAGTCAAGAATAAACGTATGTGTAATGGCCTTTTTTTTTTTTTTTTTTTTCTTAATTGAGTTTTATTTTAAAAATACAGAACTAAATAAAAAAAAAACGATATAAAAAGTAATATATAAATATACTTTATTATTTTTGATAATAAATTAAAATCAAAAATAATCATTACAATTAAACTAATTATTTTCTTAACAATAAGGATTACTAGATTAGAAGTCTTTAAGTCTTTCAACTTAAACCAACTTTAAAATTTATTTGATTTTCTGGATATCTACTTAAACTTTATCACATTTATCTAAATTTTGATCATCTGTTTTTTCGTTCTATTATTAACAAAAAGGATTTTCAAATTATTAAATTTGTATTTATTAAATTTTTTTTCCATTCAAAAAAAAATTATTAGATGGTATATTTTAATTAATATCTAAAGACATATGACTATAATTATTCATACTTTTATTCAAAAACTATTGCATTTAAGATATTATTTATTATAATTCTTCATCTATTTATTATAATTAATCATTATCCTTGTCTTTATGATTCTAAGAATATGAATTTGAATAATCATTATTCTACATACCTTTTGCTTATTGACTTTTCCTTTATCTTGTCTTTTTTTTGCCTATTCTTCCTTCTCTTTTAAAAGTTTATAAAATAGCTTTAGAAGTTGAAAATTTAATCCCGAATTCTTTTGCGGCTTCTTTTATAGTTACTTCTCTTGAAAATACTCTTTTTATAAATTTTTCTCTTACTTCTTATGTTATAGTACTGTATTTTTTCTTCAATGCAGTATTATTATTAGTGTTGCTTTTGCAAAAACTATCCTCACTATCAACTGAATCATTTTATATTTCATCTAAATCAAATTTATCTTATTTTGACATTAAAATATAATATTTTTTTAAAAGTATAAATTAAAAAATAAATAAATAAATAAATAAATAAATAAATAAATTTTTAATAAATTAAATTAATAATTATAAAAAATTATATATTATTTATATTTTTTAAAATTTTTTTTTTTTATTAATTTTTTTAATATATATTTTTTTTTATATCAATATTATTTATTTTATTCTTACTTCATTATTTTCATATTAAATATAATTAATATTATTATTATTTTTTTTTTAAATAAAAATATATGAAATATTTTATAATATTTTTATATTTATTTTTATTATTAAATTTTATATTACTCAATTTTTTACTTTTGAATATAAATTAAATACAATTATTTTTATTTTTTAATATATCAATGTTTTTGTTTTTATTTTATATAATTATTTTATTTTTTATTTTTTTATAAATACTTAGTTTTTTTTTATTTTAATTATTTTTATTTTTAATTATAATTATTTAAATATTTTAAATAATTATTTTTACCATATAAAAGAAATAAATATAAGATTTTTTGTTATATCTTATAAATAAATTTTAAAAATAGTTTATATAGATTTTTTTTTTTTTTAACAATTATTACTTATATAATATATAATTGTATGTTTTTAATTTTTTTTAATTTTTAAATATAGATTTTATAAATAATTAAATAATAATTAAAATAATAAATTTTGTATTTAATAATATAAAGAACTATAATAAATAATAAAATATTACAATAATATTTAAAGTAATTTCTAATTAATTATTTATTTTAATTTTATTATACTTTTTAATTAATAACTTTCAAAAAATAAAATGTAATAATATTTTACTTTAACAAATTAAAATTTTTAAAACTTATTAAAAGATTTAAATTAATAAGAAAAAGAGTTTATTGATTTTGTTAATTATTTAAAAACCTAAAACATTTTTTTATTCGAAAAAATAGCAAAAGATATATATATAGCCTATTCAATAGATATATGCAATTATGTTTGTGTGAAATTTTTAAATAATTATTAATTTGAATAAATAAATACCGAAAACAAATTTATTATTTAAATATATCAAAGTCTTTAATATTAAAATTAATTATTTTAAATTAAAGAACTAGCTATCTGTTCATTATAAGATTATTTATAAGAAAACAGCTTTAATTAATTATCAAAAAAATATGTTTATTTTATATCTTGGTAATTAATTAAAGGAATATAATTTAATTTCTAATTAATAAATAATTTAAAGATAAACACATAGTATATTTATATAAGTTAATCTTATAATACTTTGAAATTTGATTTCTCAAATAACAAAAAATATACTACTTAATAAGTATTTTATTTGTTTTTTTTATATTAAAAAAAATAAATAGTAATTTTTAAATCTAGCATTAGTTTTAGTATAATTAACCGGAATTAATTTTACATATGAATAAATTTTAAGTTTGGAAAGTTAAAGCGAGAATAGTATTTGCGACATTTTAAACAAAAAGTTTTCCAAATTTAATAAATTCATTATTGTTAATTTAATAAAGACTTAAAATATTGATAAAGTTGAAAAATTAATACAATAATTAATTAATTAATATGGAAATTCAGTATTTGAATATTCTTAAATATTAAATTTTAGTGTAAAGTTTTCTAAAGTAAATAAAATTATTTAAGATAAAGAAAAAGAAATAAAATAAATTAATAAACTGAATTCTAAATATAAGCTCTTTAAGACATTTAAAGAGTTAAAAGAATTTAAAAATATTTAATAAATCAACTGGATAAATTTAAAAATAAAGTAATAAATATTTAAAAAAACTAACAAAAAATTTAAATCAATTTTTTATAGAAATATAAATTTTGAATAAGAAGATGTAAAACTCTTTAATAATAATTAAATAAATATGAAAATTTGCAAACTTTAGAAATTGATTTAAAGTAAAAGGAAAAAATTTAAACTTTTTGATTCTTAAATTTATATATATAAAAAATATTAGATATTCGAATGTATTTTAAGAAATCACCTAATATATTGTTAATGGTTTTTCAAATTGTTCTTATTTGAGAATTTTAAAATTGAATTTAAGGTAAATAATAAGTTATATATAAAAAAATTAAATCTATTAAAATAAAAAAATTGAAAAAGTAATAATTTAATTGGTTTTAATGGAATCGAAATTATATCAAATGGAATTAAATTGTGTTAAAATTTAGAAGTAATTTATTTAAATTTAAAGTAAATATATTTTGAATATTACATATGATAATTTCTATTTTATTTTTTTTCATTTTTTTAGTTAAATTAAAATAAGTCATTATGCATGTTAAGTCTTATTTTGTAGTTTTTCTTAATTATAATATTAA